CCTGTCCCCATAGTCACCAGGGCCTGCAGATCTTAGTCCTCTTGCTCCCACAATAGTACCATCTCTGTCAGGAAAGCCAGTCTCACCGGGTCCTGTCTACCTCTACTCCTTTGTCTGGGGCAGATCCTAGCAATGTTTCCCCCGCTTCTTCTCCCCTGGCTTCCCCTCTGGGAAGATGTCCCCAGAGGCCTCTAGCACAGGCGGCCTGACCCATCTGCCTCCCCCAACTGCCTACAGCACTCGCTTTGCCCTCCTGGTTTCTACAACATCTCTGGTACCTCCATTCCTTCATAAGACCCAGCCCTATCCAGTATCCCTCTAACACCGCCTCCCCACTGTCACTCCATCTCCAGCCACCCCAGCATCCTCCCAGCCTACATCCAGCTGGCCTTTCCCAGCTGGGCACCTCCCCACTCGCCAAAGCTCACCCTAGAGGGCACTATGATCACCCTCTCTTCCTCAGCACCAGCCTGCAGGCAGGCCTCCCTCACGCTGGCCCAGCCCCACAAGGTCTCAGGCCTGCCCCCCCAGCCCCGAGCAGGGTGGAGTCTGGACCTTCTCCTTGATCAACCTGCAAAGGCTCAGTGGCCCAGGGAATGGCTGTCGCGCAGGGGTGGGACCAGCTGGGACAAGTCCGGTATGATGGACTTGGGCCAGCCACCCAAACATCCTCCACTAACTGAAATTTGCTGTACCAGCTACAGGCTCCTGAACATCCCCACAATCTGAAGCAGTGAACACTACTGTGGCATGGTCCCTGGACCTGTCGTGCAGGGCTCAAGATGCAGGAAAAAGAGCTCTATTTCCCCAGCTTAATCCCTCTCAGTTTTCACTTAGTCCTGTCGAAAGTTTCCTGACAGACATGTACTGTTAATGTCAAGGCAATAATCCTCAGCTAACACCAGCAAATGAGACTCAACAGCCTGACGCTTCCTGTTGCACCACAGCCCCAAAGCTAGCTGGGTCCGAGGTCAGGCCTAGGCCTGAAAGACTCACACAAGAGCACTCTACGGTTGCAGGGACAATCTTCTTACCCATGGCTGAACAGGCTGTGATACGGAGGTGGGCTGTCAGCAGGAAGGGAGCTGAGGGTCCCAGGACTCCGAACGCCTGCAGATGCTGAAGACTCAGGAAAGTACGGTGGTGGAGGGGGTGGGAATATTATCACCGAGTCACCTGGGGAAACACAATATTTGATAGAATACAGAAAGATAATAAATGGAGGAAAATTAACCCGGAGCCAAACAAACTGAGTCTAACATTACTTCTATCCCTATTCCATAAAGCACACAGATAGCTGCTGCTCATGCCAGATTAAAAAGTAGGCTTAGGTTCCCAGGGGCTGGGACAAGGCCAGAGAAGGGAAGGGAAGGGGGAATTTCTGTTTGAGGTGCTGGAAATGGACAAGAATGAAAGCTGTATGGCACTGTGAAGGTATGTAATGTGGCTGAATTATACACTTGAAAACGATTAGAGGCCAGCCAGATAGCTTAGCGGATTACAGCACCTGCTTAAGCAAATGCAGGGGCTGGGGTTCAATCCATCTGCCATGCCAGCCCTGCCCCCAGGGCATGCTGAAACAGTGAATGAGACTGGATGTGATGGCACAGGCCTGTAATCCCAGCACTTGGGAGGCTGAAAAACAAGAGGATCACTCTGAGTCCAATCTGTGTAATGAGACCTGTAGACCCTGTACTGAATACATAAAAAAGAAAGAAACTTGTAAAATGGTAAATTTTGTGCTATGTATATTTTATTTCAAATTTTAAAAAGTGAACCTATATTTCAGAGCCCGAGTGTTCCTCATCACAGTATGAACAAGGCCTCTCTTTCCGGGAAAGGGTGAGTTACAGCTGCTTGCTAACATTTTCTCATCTTTTAAAGCAAATGTTTAGTACTGGGACAGCTCTCCTTAATCAAAAGCCAGTTGCTGGCAAAGGGGTCAGCTCCTCCAACACAGTTTCAGCCTCTGAACATGACACTAAGCCAGGCTCTGCCAGCGGTATCCACCAAAACTTCCTCAAGCTATACAGAGGAAGCTCAAACTCAAAGCAAAGCTGGGTCTTTGTGTTGCTGTTGCTACTGCTAGCTCCAGAAGACATCCTTGTGTTTTCAGGAGAAACCAGGCACCAAGATCTAACTTGGACTTCCATTCTAATACATTGGGATTCCAATGCACTGCACCAAAGGACTCGCCCAGAACATTCTAGGTGTGCAGCAGCCCCACTACAGCAGGCTCAACGAAGGCCTCTGCTAAGTTGGCCACACCAGGAAGAATGGTGGAGGACAGAGAGCTTCATTTCCCTGTGGGGAGAAGACTGGTTGGTACTGGTGGCAGACCTGGTGGGATTCTTTAAAGACATAGGTGTTTTATTTATCAGTGACCAACCCAAGATGGCCTTAAACAGGCCCTTTGATGTCACTGGGCCTTGACTGACACAGCTGTCATCAGCGGCAGAAGAGTGCCTGCCTCAGAGCATACATGAAGCACTATACTCTGATTGGCAGTCTCTAGCCTGAAGCCCCAATTGTCTCCACAGATAACCCAGCCTTCTGGAAAATGCGTGAACTCCAGCTCTCTTCACAGTCTGTAGGAAATGGCAATTACAGCTAAAAATACAGCTAATCTCAACTTGCTAGAGCCCAGGGGCTCTCTTGGGGCTCTCCTTTAAGCCTCTAGAAGGGAAGTCTGAGGAACCTGCTGCTGCTGCTGCTGCTGGCTGCCACGAAGAGGCTGCCGGTGTGCTGCAGAATTCACCTTAATTACACGAGGCAGAATACAGGATGTGTGAGACCAGCGTCTAGAGCAGGCCATCGCCTGTCAAAGACAAACAAGGAAGTGCTGGAGTGGCCCTGTTATCTGCAAGGGCAGCCATCCCTCTGCCCAATCAGCAGGCATGTGTTCACACCTTGCCAGCTCCTGTCCCCCAGGCTTCCCGTCTCCCCACACCCTTCAGAACCTGAGTCCTCTGAGCGGTGACACCATCCACCTCTGCAGGAGGCAGGTGGTCCAAGTTCTAGCACCAGGCATATTCACCACAGAGAGAGCCCCCCCACATGAAATCTCTCTCCCACGGCCTCTCTGGGGAGCAGAGCAAAGGTGATGATGCCATGCCCCAGACACGATGGGACACAAAGTGTTAAGTGGAAAAGGTTTTGAACTATCCCGGCCAGACTGAGGACACTGACACCTGCCCCACACCAGCTGGCTCTGCTCTCTGCCCGCACCAAATACCAGCCACCAGGTGGGAGGCTGGGTGGCTACCAAACCCAAAGCGCTTCCTCCAAAGCTCCAACAGGTGTGCACTTCCCAGGAATGCACTGTTCTGTGCCCTGTGTGCTCCCCAGGGGGCTGAGATGTCTGCAGCACAGGGGGAGCCTTTTCCTCATGTAATAAGTACTCAGAGCACCTGGGAAGGATGAACTATAATCACACCCCAGCGCCCAGGGAAGGGTGCTGTGCAAGGCTGCCCTGAGTGCCTCTACCCCTGGCTTTGTGTGCTGCTCCGCCACTGCTTGGCGAACCTGGACTGGTTATCTGCTGTCCCCATCCCTAACACTAAGTCGGGTGAGGCCTCTCCATCTACTGTAGGTGTGACTTGTTTTGGCACTGTGAAAACACCTCCAGGGCACTGGGCCCAGGAACAGACCCTCTGTAAGGAAGAGTTTGCAGTCACCATCAACAGAAATGCATGAGGAAGTAACGTGGGTGCATCTGCTCTGGTTCAAATCCAAGTGCCCTCCCGCTCCCAGGCTGCCATCAGACCAGGGCCAGCAATGGCTCCTTTCTTCCATGCTCAGCCAGGGACCACCAGGGTCCAGCAGAAGGCCCCAGCCCAGGAACACCTCATTTGTGACACTTCTCTGGAGCATCCACCATTTCAGCTCCAGAGTCCTTTTCACCCAGCCTTTTCAATGCCAAGGCGGCAAAATCAGAACTTCAGCCTTTCCAAAGCAGTGGGTGAAATCTTGCTGCAGGTGATGTCAGCCTGAGGAGGGCCTCTGGGAAATGGTAAGCCACCCCTTCTGCAGAATTCAGGGACCGAAAGGAATTTCTAGGCCATCCACAAGAGCAAGAAGCACTGAGGCCCCTCACTGCAGCCTGTGCCAAACCTTCCAAACCTTGCCCAACCCTGCATCCAAGGATGAAGCTACAGAAAATGAAGAACAGACTAAAAAGCAACAGAGTGGCTCCCATGACCCCCAGCCATTCGAAGACTGTCAGGCTTGGGACAGATTTGGACTCCTAGGATGTTCATGCTGGTAGGAATCCAAAAACTGTAATGTTTATTTTTACCGATCCATAAACTAAGGCAGGGGAGGTTAAGGATTTATCAAGGACAGCGAGCCAGTGATAGCCAGCACTGTCCCACAACGGAGTACTATGGGCTTGAGTATGAGAATGACAAGAAAATAGGGCTTGCTCAATGCAGCAGAAGGCACCACTGCTGTGGTCACGGTCCTTCTTACTTCCCTTTCAGCTTGCCTTTGGCCTCAGTTGAGGTCACCTCTCAGATGTCCCATTCCTTTTGCTCAATAATGGGTTGCTGGGAAGAAATAACGTGTACATGATTCCTGCAGGGCTTCCTGGGGCAACAGCACTACGTTTGTAGAAAGCCTCTGTGTGTGTGTGTGTGTGTGTGTGTGTGTGTGTGTGTGTGTGTGTTGTGGGGTGCATGTGGGAGAAAGGAAGGGAGATAGAATGCTCAGACCAGACCTGAGCACAGCCCAGGGAAGGCTTGCAGCAACAGCTGAACAAGTGCAGGCATGGGTGCCACTCACCTACGGTGACCTGCACAGGCTCCGTGCTGGGCGTGTGTCCCTCTTCGCTTTCAGAGGCCTCCTGGCTGGTACTCAAGTTGCTTTTCTTCTTAACATGTGCAACCACAAAGAAACACAATCCCACGAGCACAACCAAAGGCCCCATGATCTGCAGGGAAAGGAGCCCACAGACCTGAGGCTCAGAACTGTTGATGTCCGTCTCGTTCATGTCCGTCTCGTTCACTGGGTCCTGAACCCAGTCTGAGCTACATCCAGGGACCCAAATGCCCAGGATGCTGATGAGCAGGCCACTTGTCAAGAACAGAAACCCAAAAATCAAGCACTGGGCAAACTGGCGGCTCTCTCCACAGAGGAAAGCTTGTTCAGAGTCAGCCTGGGTGCCTCGCCGCCTTCCCGCCAGGAGCTGAAGTCGTGCCCGGGAACGGGCCAGGATCACAGCACCAAGCCCAACCACGGCACACGAGGGCCCAGCGATCTTCAGCACCATGCTGCAGTGGGGGACAGGTTCGTATTGGCAGGCCTGGTACCCAAAGATGGAGAGCAGAACTCCCACACACAGCAGGACAGCACCGAAGACAAAGAGGAAGAAAACCAGCTTGCTGGTCCGCCTGTCCCTCTGGTCCCCATCGGGCTCGGCAATGCCTGTGGAAGACATGGCCAGAAAAGGCTCCTTCCCCAAGGCGAGATGGCACGGGTTTCCTTCACTCCAGCGGGCTTCAGAGCTCTGCAAACAGAGACAAATGCCTCACTAACACAGGCACACATGTTTCTGACCAGCCCTGTTCTTTTGCTGGCCATTTCAGTAATCATCCTAGAATGAAATCACACACTGCAGAACAATCAGTTGGTTCCTGAGTCAGAAGCACTGGCATTCAGAAACACTTAAATGTGAGATTTTATGGAGATATTAAAAAAGGGAAGAAATTCAATTACCATGCATCTGAGATAAAAGTATTATAAAAAAATAATTTAAAAAACTGGGTGTGGCTTTTCCTGTTCAGGAGTCTTGCAAACTCACTCTCCCCAGGCAAAAATAAAGCAACAGGGAAAGAGAGAAGAACCGCAGCAGGTGTCATTCGGCCAAAGCCCTATACTTCATCAAAACTGCTCTGAGCATTTCCAAGTCAGCACATTTTTGTTCAGTTCCTTTTCCCCAATTTAGACTTGTGCAGCTTTTCATTTCATGCGTTATTCTAAAGCTCCATCTACAGAAGATCCCAAATCAAGCAATTTCAACAGAAGGGAAAAACAGTTCAAATCACGGTGGGGGTGCAGGCTTTTAAGTTAATTATGTTAAAAATGTGATTCCCAGGTTCACACTGGGAATACTGGACCCAAACACTCTCTATCTCTCTCTGTGTCTCTCTGTCTCTGTCTCTGTCTCTCTCTCTCACACACACACACACACACCCCTCTGATAGCCTAGCTGCTGGGCCTCAGATGGCCCCCAAAAAGCAGTGAGGCCCCACTCCAAGACACCAAGTACCTTGCAGCAGGTGGTTACTACTCAACATCCTCCACAGTGCCACCCACTTCCACAAAGAGGTCGCACTCAGTAAAAATAAGCAGCCTACAAGATCACGGATCCAACTGAAAAGGCAGCCGAACTTGACAAATATAAGTTGAACCTACTGGGAAAGTACGTTCCACAAAATCCCCAGAGCCCTATGCTTCAAGGGCATTATATTTATGTTTATCAAATAGTTGTTCAAGATCTATCTAGTTTACACAGCACGGGCTCTATCATGCGGTTAGCTTAGAGCCGTCAAGTGGGGCACTCGAAAGACAAACCCACTAGAGTAAGGAAAGAAAACCTGTAAAAATATTGGTGCCTCCCCAATCTACAGTACCACACTGAGGAGTTCAAGACAGGCACAAAGGCCAAAACCATGTTGACAAACCAATACCTCGAGGGAGGGAGGGCAAGGAAGGAGGTCAGATTAGGTAAAGAAGGCAGCCAAGGGAGCCTATCCCAGGAAGTACTTTTCCAGGAAAAAGTATGATAGAATCAGAAGGAAGTCAGAGCAAAAAGGAAATACAGGAGATGAATAAGCTTCCGCCTCACACTTGGAAAAGCCATGTTTTACGAAGATGCTATTAAGCTGAAAGAAAGGCTCAAAGTACTGCACTAGTGAACAAACTTTTTCCCTGAATCCTATACTCCTTTCTCCGAACTGGGAGATAAGGTGATTCTTGGCCACAAAGTTCTATCTGAAATTCGCTGTTAGACACTATTAGAACCATTTCCAAATACCCATCTAAACTTCATTTCCTCCAAGCCAAATTCCCCCCGCCAGAGCCAAACTTTTTTTTTTTTTTTTTTTTTTTGCGGTACCGGGGATTGAAGTCAGGCCCCTGCGCCTGCCAGGCAAGCGCTTATTCCACTGAGCCATCTCCCTGGCCCCATCAAGACATTTCTAAATCAACAGCATCTCTCCAAGTCCAAAGTTCTCGTGGGTTTGGCGAGCCCAGCAAAGAGAGACAAGGATCTTTCCCAGGGAAGAGTCCCGTGGTTTGCAGGCAGTCCCGAGGGGCCGAACGCGCGGTTCCCGGGACTGAGATGGGGCGCTGGGCCTCAGATACCCCCGCACCCGCGCTCCGGGCGCACAACAGCGGGCTGCGGCCGCTTACCTGAGCCGTGGCCGCCTGCTGCTGTGTGCACCGTGCAGGGCACCGCCTCCGCACGCGGCCTCCCGGCGCCCGCCGACCCGCACCGGCCCCAGCGCGCGGGGCGTGG